GTTGCCATCGAGGATAAAAAGATGGGGTTTATATCATATTGCATGAGTTTATCCCTCTACATCATGTCATCTTTCTTAATGTGTTACTCTGTTCTTTATGAACTTAATACTCTAGATGCATGCTGGATAGCGGTCGATGTGTGGAGTAATAGTAGTAGATGCAGGCAGGAGCCGGTCTACTTGTCACGGACGTGATGCCTATAAACATGATCATGCCTAGATAATCTCATAATTATTGGCTTTTCTATCAATTGCTCGATAGTAATTTGCTCACCCATCGTAATACTTATGCTATCTTGAGAGAAGCCATTAGTGAAACCTGTGGCCCCCGGGTCTATCTCTTATCATATAAGCTTTCATCTACTTTTATTTGCATCTTTACTTTTCCAATCTAAATTATAAAATACCAAAAATATATTTATCTTATCATATTATCTCTATCAGATCTCACTTTCGCAAGTGGCCGTGAAGGGATTGACAACCCCTTTATTGCGTTGGTTGCGAGGTTCTTGTTTGTTTGTGTAGTTGCGTGGGACATTTGAGGAGCCTCCTGCTGGATTGATACCTTGGTTCTCAAAAACTGAGGGAAATACTTACGCTACTTCGCTGCATCACCCTTTCCTCTTCAAGGAAAACCAACGCAAGCTCAAGACATAGCAATACCCTTGGTGACAATGGGGTATCATATTAATTCACTTGATATATGTTTTGGCACCCAACTCACGGATTCCCAAGGTGACATTGGGGAATCTTTGCATAGGGGTTGATGCACATTTTCGTCCTTGTTTCTCCGGTAGAAATCTTGGGGAACTCTTTGACGTTCTTTGTGTTGGATTGAGTATTATGAATCTGAAATTGTTTGATGCATATCATATAATCAACTCACGGATACTCGTGGTGACATTGGAGTATCTAGGTTATATTAGAGTTGGTTGATGTGTATCGTATGGTGTTATTTTAGTATGAACTCTTAGATAGATCGATCGGAAAGGATAACTTTGAGGTGGTTTCGTACCCTACAAACAATTTCATCTTATGTTCTCCGCTGGATAAGAACTTAGGAGTGATTCTTCATCGCACGTTAAGGGATGGTTATATTATCCAATTATATTAACATTGTTGAGAGATTGCACTAGCGAAGTACGGACCCTAGGCCTCATTTTCAAGCATTGCAACACCGTTTGTGCTCACTTTTGTTACTTGCTACCTTCCTGTTTCTTATTGTTCCTATTACAAAAATCAATATCTACTATCATTACCACCATCTCTTCGCCAAACTAGTGCACCTATACAATTTACCATTGTATTTGGTGTGTTAGGACACAAGAGACTCTTTGTTATTTGGTTGCAGGGTTGTTTGAGAGACCATCTTCATCCTATGCCTCCCACAGACTGATAAACCTTAGGTCATCCACTTGAGAGAAAATTGCTACTGTCCTACAAAACTCTACGCTTGGAGGCCCAACACGAGTCTACAAGAATAAGTTATGTAGTAGACATCAATAGCTCACTTGGGCGAACGTGTTATCGAATCCCACATATGAAAAATTAGACAGGGTGCTTACCAGTGTTGATTGGGAACAAATATTCCCCCTTGTAATGGTGCAGGGTTACAAAGGGCTATCTCTGATCACACCCCTTTAGTGGTCTACTCAGGAGAAGCGACTCATAGGGGTAACAAGAACACCTTCTCTTTTGAACTAAGTTGGTTTGAGAAAGAGGGATTCCTACATATGGTTGCTACGGAATGGTCTAAGGATTTCGGTGCGCGCTCAAGTATCAAAAGGTGGCAAAATAACATTAGGCATTTGAGACCATTTCTCATGGGTTGGGCCAGAAATGAAAGCGGAATATATAAACAAGAAAAAGAAAGACTTATCCGTATGATAGAAGCATTAGATCTGAAAGCGGAATCTAACGTGTTATGCGCAACTGAACAAGCCACAAAAACTGAGGCTGAGCAGAAACTTCTTGTTCTTCTTAGAGAAGAAGAAATGAAATGGGCACTGCGGACTAAGGTTCTAAGAGTCGTCCAAGGGGATGACAATACTCAGTTCTTCCATATGATTGCGAATGGCAAACATAGAAAAAAGAAAATCATCCAACTCAAACAGGATGAAGGTACAGTGGTGGGACACAAAAATCTCAAGTTGTACATCTCAAATTACTATAAACAACTTTTCGGGCCACTTGAGGACAGTTTCGTGTCCCTTGACGAGCTCGCAGTCGGGAATATTCCCCAACTCAAGACTAACGAAAATGAGATTTCGTCTGTGCCATTTACAAAAAAAGAGGTGTTCGAAGCAGTATCACAGATGAAACATAATAAGGCACCTGGACCAGATGGATTCCCGACAGAATTCTACAAGAAATGTCGGCACGTCATAAAGGGTGATGTCATTCCAATGTTCCATGAACTCTTTAATGGCCACCTACAGTTTTTCCACCTTAACTTTGGAACAATAACCTTGTTACCAAAGAAGGAGGAGGTAGTGCGTATTGAGAAGTTTAGGCCTATATGTCTTTTTAATGTGAGTTTCAAAATCTTTACAAAAGTAGGCACAAATAGATTGACACGGGTTACCCATTCGGTGGTACAACCGAGTCAGACGGCATTCATGCCAGGTAGACATATCCTTAAAGGGGTTGTTGTCTTACATGAAACTCTACATGAAATCCATTCGAAGAAACTAGTTGGGGTGATCTTCAAGGTGGATTTTGAGAAAGTGTACGATAAGGTCAAATGGCCCTTCCTCCAACAGGTAATGCGCATGAAGGGATTCAATGAAACCTGGAGGGAAACAGGTGGATTCCTTTATTCAAAAGGGTAGCGTGGGGATTAAAGTGAATGATGACACGAGTCACTATTTTCAGACTCATAAGGGCTTAAGACAAGGGGACCCGATGTCCCCTATATTGTTCAACATGGTGGCAGATATGTTGGCAGTACTTATTGATAGGGCCAAGGAGAATGGCCAAGTAGGAGGACTAGTCCATCATCTTGTTGATGGAGGGGGGGGTCTCCGTACTACAATGCTTTGATGACACTATAATATTCATGGAACATGATATCGCAAAGACTAGAAATATGAAGTTAGTACTTTGTCTTTTCGAGCAATTGTCGGGGTTAAAATTTTTAATAAGAGTGAATTGTTCTGCTTTGGAAGAGCCAAAGAGGAACAAGATGTGTATAGACAATTGTTCGGTTGTGAAATGGGATCCTTCCCTTTCAGCTACCTTAGAAACCGACATATAAAGAATGAAAATATATTGAGGATCGATTTGAAAAGAAGCTAAACTGCTGGAAGGGCAAGCTTATGTCTTATAGAGGTCGGTTGGTGTTAATAAACTTGGTACTAAGTAGTATGTCCATGTTCCTATTACCTTTCTTCGAAGTACCTATAGGGGTGTGGAAAAAGTTAGATTTTTACTGGTCCCGTTTCTTCTAGCAAAGCAATGAAGTAAAGACAAAATACAGATTTACCAGGTGAAATATTATCTGCAGATCCAAAGACCAAGGGGGGCTTGGGATTGAGAACTTGGATATCAAAAGCAAGTGCTTATTAAGTAAATGGCTATTTAGGTTATCGGTTGAGACCGATGGTATGTGGGTACAAATCCTACGTAACAAATATTACTATCAAAGTCTCGGGCCAGGTTACCGTGAGACCTAACGACTCGCCATTCTGGAAGGGGCTAATACGAAATTTTTGGTTGGAAATGGTACTACAACCAGATTTTGGGAAGATAAATGGTTAGGAAAGACGCCTTTGGCCTTGCAATATACCACTCTGTATAATATTGTACAACGTAAGAAGATTTACATTACTACAGTATTACAACATCCTTGAACATCCAGTTCAGGAGATCCCTAGTGGGGAACCGGTGGAACTCCTGGTTGCATCTTATGCGAAGGTTGATGGCTGTTCAACTTTCTAATGATCCTGACTTGTTTCACTGGAAATTAACTAGGATCGGGATTTTCAATACTTGGATCTGATTGATTCTAGCCCAATCCCGAGATCAATTCATATTTGGAAAATTAAAGTTCCGTTGAGAATCAAGATGTTCATGTGGTTCCTTTACAAGCAAGTGATATTTACCAAAGATAATTTGCTTAAGCATAGTTGGGTAGCCGGTTCATGTTGTTTCTATGACAACGATGAAACAATACAACATCTTTTCATCGATTGCCCTCTCGCTAAGCTTCTTTGGCGTACAATTCATATAGCTTTTCAACACAAGCCCTTCAATTAGCGGGCATGGCTTAATTTCTTGCAGGTTATCTACAAAGCGTCATCTTGGATCCGTACGTGATTGTTACTCGTTCATACGGACTCCAGGGAGCTTTTGGTTACTGAGTGCAACCAATAAAAAACGGTAGCACGGGCTATTTACAACCAGTTTGGATGGCGGATAGATGTTTTATCATCTCATCCTGTTCATTGCCTGTCGTGGCTTTGTTCATTCATTTTGCTTTTTATGCTCCTTCTACAAGCTCCTGCTATGGACCTTGGTTTGCTAGACTTCTAATAAAATGGCCACAGAGGCCACGAGTCTTTCCTCCTATTTCAAAAAAAAAAAATTGTTTCCGTTGCAACACACAAGCAAATTTCCTAGTATAATTTTTTTTTAAATTGCCGCCACGGGCTAGTCCTGGGTGGGCTCTTTTTTTATGATGATTTAATTTGCACAGCCAATTCAAAACTACAACCTAGCCAGAAAGAATTTTTGTTAAACACCGATCATGCATAGCTGTTTGATTATAGGAAGCAAGAGTTGAACCCTCTGGTTCAAATCTTAAGGAACCCGTGCATACACGAGCAGGATTCAAGTTGTAAAGTAAAATAATGCACGAGGACGGCGATGTATAACAATATAACGAAAGAAAGGGTAGGTAAAAGACCCAGCAACAAAGGACACACGAAAATGGTCCTTGTACAAGCATCATAACTACCCGAAGGCTAAGAGAGAAAGAGGGCAGTAGCTAGGACCCTTCACTACTGCTCATCCTCAGGCTTGCTTGAATCCCTCATTTCATCGCCAGCGTCATCCTGCTGACATAAATTATTGAGCATTATTTTAAAAAAATGTCTACTGCTATGTAAACATTTTTCCTTGTTACTGGTTAGTACACTACAACTCCGCCTATGTCTTCTAGGCATAGCCGGTCCCAAGCCCGGGTAAAGGAGGAGGGTTGTGATAGGCTTGGCGAGCCAATGTAAAAACTAGCCAGTCCCATAGGTATGAAACCCATTTGAGCGAGAATAGTACTAGGATGGGTGACCTCCTAGGAAGTCCTCGTGAAAGGGTTTCATATCTAAGGGTTGTGATAGGCTTGGCGAGCCAACGTAAAAACTAGCCAGTCTTTTGGGTATGAAACCCATTTGGGCGAGAGTAGTACTAGGATGGGTAACCTCCTGGGAAGTCCTCGTGAAAGGGTTTCATATCTAGCCTACCCCGACTTATTTGGGATAAAAGGCTTCGTAAACAAACTGGTTAGTACACTACCTGCATATCAGAGGTCCACAAGGTGAGATTGTCACGGAGAAGTTGCATGATCAGGGTGCTGTCCTTGTAGGAATCTTCTCCGAGGGAATCCAGCTCAGCGATGGCTTCATCGAAGGCCTATAAACATAAGAGAGTGTGATCACATGCCAAAAAGAAAACATGTGTTAAAAATTTGCAGAAAAGCTTTTACAGGACTAAGCAAACCGAACCTGAAGGGTATCAATTTATGACATAACAGACTTGGAAGAAAAATACGTTCATCATTAGATTCATCACCTTAGTAAAATGTGCCTTGTGGAGTTGACTTGAGAGAATAAGATGCATGAAAGAACTACAGATTTATTGTCTCCAGGCTTAACAAGTGGCCAGTCCAGACAGATGAGCAATTATACTACTGCACTACTTATTTATCTGAATCAAGCAGTTCATGTCATGACAGCAATCAAGCATGTGGATATCGTTTTCCCCAAAGTGGCACCTTTCGAAACAGTACTTTGGTGGTCCCTCGCCTTTTAAGAGGATGTGACGCCATCCGCATTGACGTTTTTAAAGCCACGCCATACCAATTGCAGATGCCGTCAACTCGCACTTGCAGATGTCGTCAACTCGCTGGGGTGTGTGCAGAAGAATAGCACGGCGGTGACAAGAGCAGTTGGTACCTCAGTAGTGGGTTGGGTTAGTAACTCAATATATATAGTGGCACGACCCGTTTGAATCCCCAACACTACCTTTTTCTGTTTCTCTTCTCTTAACAGTTTTTCCTTTTCTCTTGTCTCCACCACGTTTTCGTTTTCTCTTCTCTTAAGAGTTTTTCTTTTTCCTCTTCTCCCCACTGCATTTTCTTTTCTCTCTTGCAGACTACGTATAGTATAAAATGTGAAGTACTCCCCAACACTACCTTTTTCTGTTTCTCTTCTCTTAACAGTTTTTCCTTTTCTCTTGTCTCCACCACGTTTTCGTTTTCTCCTCTCTTAAGAGTTTTTCTTTTTCCTCTTCTCCCCACTGCATTTTCTTTTCTCTTGCAGACTACGTATAGTATAAAATGTAAACTACTCCCTCCGTCCCATAATGTAAGACGTTTTTTGACTCTATCGTAGTGTCAAAAAACGTCTTACATTACGGGACGGAGGGAGTATATCTCAATCTCATGCAATAAAAGTACTCTTCTCTTATAGTTTTCCTTTTCTCTTCTCTCCACTTCGTTTTCTTTTTCTCTTCTCTTACATTGTACCCTATATTATAAAAAGTAAACAATATCTCATATCTCATGAAATAAAAGCACATCATTGTTTTGCTTTTTTACCTACGATCTTCTCCTTCAACCCCTTTACTAGTTTTTTTTGTGTGCACACAACAACTCTTTAAAGACAATCCAATATAAAATAAAGAAATATTAAAGAAAGGAAAGAAATTTTAGACTACTTATAGTATAAAAAGTGAACTAGCTTGCGTGGTAGTCACCTTTTTGCATTTTTCCTTTAACTTTTGGATTTTCGTATATTTATTTTTAAGGACGTGAATAACACTGACATTCCCTCATGTAGGCCAACCAAGCGAACTATCCTTCCTCCAGCCAGGTAGGAAAGAACGAATTTTTGTACGCTAAGAAAAACACTCCAAACGAATGCTACAGAATTCATGCGAAAACACATAAATTTGTCATGTTGTTGTGTAAATAGTTGCCATGTTCTCGAGTAAAAAATGTCGTGTTGTACAAAAAGATTGTCAAAAAATTGCCATGCCACAGCAGAGTAGTTGCAGTGCGTTTTCAGGTATTTGCCATGATCAAAGCATGAAGAATTGTCAGTCTACAAAAAAGAAAATGGTGAAATTGCCATGCTGACAGAAGGGAATCGCAAATCAATGGATAAGGTGAAAATTTGCCATCCCGGATGTGCTGGCTCAGATTGCCATCCTGAGTGAACCATTCAATACTACTTGACTCTGCCTTCGTGCATGCATAGGTTTGAGCCAAGCACCACACATGACGAAGAGTGCAAGCACAAGAGTACTCCTGCCCATGAGTGAAGCGTGGAAGCGGCGACGGAGCAACGGAAGAATGGGTGAAAATTTGCACCACCGGACAGTTGACATAACGACCGGACAGTTCAGCCGGCGTCTACGCGAAGGCCGAAACCTTCTGTTGCCTGCGAGCAGAGTTTGGGCATGGCCCTTGTATCTTTTCCTTTTTGCCCAACTTACCTCTTCATGACTTGGACCCATATATACCTCTTCCCCTCCTCCATTCTAGGGTTAGTTAAGATAGAACTCGAATCATAGAGCTTAGCTCATGTATCTACCCTTGTGGGATTCCTCTTGAGGGAGGAAGGGTCAAGACTCCAAGGAGTTCAAGGCCACCTAAGGGTGTAGGCTCTTTGAGCACAAAGCCTCTATCCATGGAGAAGATTCCCCATGTGGAATTCAAGCCCTCCTTGTCTTAGGACATGGGGAAGAACTCTACCTTGTTCCATCTCTCTTGTGGATGATTTGGATCAAGAATATAGCTGTGTGTATCTTTTATTGCATCTATGTGTGTTGATTTGAGTTTTTCCCTTGTGTTTCCTCTTGATCCCCTCCGTGTTCTTCGTGTTTTTCCTCAAATCCACCTCCAATTCGTTAAGATCGGGCCACCATAGGGTTTGCCTCGTATCGTTTGGTATGAGCAATGTTGCTACGATTTAGAGCCCTCACCCCTCTTATTTTGTTTTGTTCTTGTCCAATTTCGAAAATCCAAACGAAAGAGCCATACCCAAAAAAATTATGGTTTGTTGGATTTCTTGAGATTTGCTTGGTTTTGATCCATGGATCTCATGCAAAATTAGTTGATCTGCCTTCATTTGCGTTCCCTGGCCGCATTTTTGTTCTTTTCCCCCTTCATTTTTTTTACCATGAAATCACAATTTCCCACCATTATGCCTTCTAAGGTACCACCAGATTGTCTGGTAGATTAGAACCAGTCTGGTCAGACCACATTGTCCGGTCGCATAAAAAATAGGTCAAGGACCGGACTGTTCTACTGTTGTTGCCATAACTTCCACATCCGAACTCCAATTTGACATTTTTTTGGCTCAATTTGAAGTTATCAGTGTTTCCAAGGCCATCACCTAGGTTTCCAGATCATTTGGCTATGACAAATTTGGAGGAACTACATCAAAACCGGAACACCTCCACCAACCATCACACTCAAGTCATTGCTTCATTCGCCCAAGTAACATTCGAGTGACCATTGGGTACCATCTACATCGACAACCACCAAGATCGTCGCCAAGAACTTCATCATCAACGACAACAACTTCATCCTTCAAAACCACAACTAGAAGCAAGGTCGGTCCCATCAACTTCAACGAAGGTACAACCTCATCCTTTGAACCCACAACCAGAAGCAAGGCCGGTCCCCTACAATTTCAATGAAGGTGTTGTGTTCACGAAATCTCCATTCCGTCAAACACTTTGCCTTCTGATGAGGACATGACTACCTTGGATATAACCAAAAATATTGCATATATGCATATTTGTCAGGTGATTTCTAGTGCAAACTATTCGATAATCTATTTATGTTATCCAGAACAAAAATACTTCACACACTTTTGTGTTTTGTCTAATTGCAGGTGTATGGGACATTTGTACAATCCACATATGAAGATAAGGGAAAAGGAGAAGTTTAGGTTGTGTTCAAAAAGTCCTCTCACGTCACTTTTGGGCCAAGAGAAGATAGAGTCCAAGTCTCTCACGTTCTGGATTCAGATTCGGACTGCACAGACATACCTGACTCAAAACGCACACAAGTTTTTCATACGGACTCCGAATTGGGTGATTCTTTTTTTGTTGGAAACTAGATTTCGTGCACTTTCCAACCCAATTGGAATCACCTTCAAATTCGTCCGGAGCGTTGAGTTGTGGACGGAACAATCTGATGCTGCAGCAGAATCCGAGTCAAACTACAAGTCCAAAGGTGTTACATCACCTCCACTTGGGCCCATTGGCCTTGTACGACCTAGATTTAGTTTTAGGCTGCCTTGGGACGTCCTCCCACCTCCTTGGCCGCCACCCCTTGCTCCTATATAAGTAGATCCATCTAGTAGCTTTTCCTTGGGATTTGTTTAGTTAAAAGTTAGCCATTGCAACTTCGTGTACTTCGTTTGTGTCCAACGACCAGACCAAGACCGCTTACGGATCCCCACCTTTATCAATACTTCATATATATTCGCAATATTCAGATTGCTTTTATCATATTCTTGCTCGTTCTTCGATTGCTTGCAGGAATAGACCTTTGTGGTCAGGTTGATCGTGCTCCGGCGTGGTCAATAACCTCAGGAGATTGGTTTAGCGATTGCTAAGGCGCAACGTCGTGCACGTTTGTAGTCGGATCGTCAAAGTCGTCTCCACCAAATCGATAGTTATCATCTCATCGAAAGATCGGGACACCCTCGCCTCTATCAAGTGGTATCAGTTTTCAGGTTGCTCGGTGAGAATTTCCAGTTTTTCCTAGATTAGATTTATTTTCTTACCTATTGTCCAAGAAAAAGCCACAAAAAAAAGTTAGATCTATTCATCCTTTGTCCTAGCCAGACTGAGCCTTTGCAATTGGTTCCCATAATTTCGATGAACATAAAAAGGTTAAGGTTGCGGTTGGTTCTTTCACTGGTTATGCTTTGGTTTGGTGGAGTGAATATTGTCGGTTACACCCTGATTATATACCTACTACCTGGGATGATTTGAAACTTGCCATGCGACATACTTTCGTCCCTGCTTATTATACTCGTGACATGATTAAGAAGTTGCAACACTTAAAACAAGGTAGTGAAACTGTAACAAAATATTATGATGATTTACAAACTACCTTGTTGCATTCCTCTTTAGAAGAAAGTGAAGATGATTTTATGGATAGATTTTGGGGAGGATTAAACCGTGATATTCAAGAGATACTAATTCATGAAGAGTGTTATCCTATGGACCATTTGTTTCATCTTGCTTGCAAAGCTGAACAGGAAATAAAACGACGTGTTGGCCACGAGGAGAACAAGCGCACGGTGCACATTCCAAGAGTTGATATGATTGTTCCTTCAACTACTAGGCATACTATGACAACCACAGCCGTTGTTGTCAGGACTACATCA